AAATCAAGCACAATCCCTCCAGTAAGGGGTTTAGTATCATAAAAAGTAATAAAAAATTAATACTGAAATCCGAACGGAAACGGAAAGTCCCTTATCAAATGACAAAATCAAAAGCTGAAACACATTACACGAATGGATAACAACTGTCATATTCCTGACTTGGTACAGGCATTTTATTATGTGGAAAATGGTGGATTAAACCTTGTTATACCATCATAAAATGTATGAGAAGAACATAATCCGTACCAGGCCAACAACTAGTTTTAGAATAAATGTGTTTATTTCCGATGCAAAGTCCCCCCCCCCCCCCCCCCCAATGAGTGAATCAGTATAAATATCAAAATATGCCATATTTAATGACCCTCCTGAATAAGTCTGTTTAAGGTTTTGTTAGCTTCTGAGGTTAATGCCGACATTTTTGTGCTTTGTATAGAAAATTACCTTAAAAGAAGGGATGTGCAATACTATAATGAATTCATTTAAGAGTAAAACCATTTATCTTGATAGGAAAGTACACTGGGTAAGTTTCATGTTAGGAAAAGTACTAGATTTTGGGAGCTTTTGGTAATAACTTTTTTGATGCTGAACCCACACTTGTGTCTTGGCAATCATAACAAAAATGTTAAAGGCGTAAAACCACGAAATCATAGTACGTCACATCCGGTTTCAAACGAAAAAGGGTTGAAAAAAATATTCCCTTGAATTTGACAGTTGTAGGAAGTTTTACCTGCAGAAGCAAATGTATGAGTCATAAACATGTAGCTTTGGTGCTTTTAAGTAACATTTAATTTGTATTTAGTGTTTCGATAAGATATTTTGGAAACTTGAGGTTACATGGATACTTTAGCTTCAATTCTCCCTCGCCATGCTCGTCCGAATTTTAAGTTTTTCTTTACTAAATTCCTTCATATAAATCAGAAAAACTATAATATAGGTTTGGTTGCTCGCAGTAACTTGTTCTTTTCTCTTGCAAACAATGTTAAATAACATTATATTCTTGTATAATTCTTATATGATTTGCATATTAGGGAATGCGTCTATATGATTGGTCGAGTCGACTTCCGCGAGTGGCTCTTGACGTTATTTATTTTCCGATAGATGACGTTGACCGAACTACTTTTTGTAATCAATGTAAACAAGATGGCGGCGACGTTAAAATATCTATTTTTTTCTTCGCGTTCATCGTTAAATTTGAAAATAAACACATAACATTCATTTAAATGATTATAAGACACTTTTGTAGTTTATTTTTTATCAGATAGCAAATTTCATGGAGAATTTTATTTTTGCGTTGACCAAAAAATAAATTCATTCGCCAGGCCAATTCAATGACAAAAATATACAATTTACGTGTGACAGAGGTTACGAGTGGGGAAATTAAATTCCTTATCTCCAATTGCAAGGAATTATAAGGATTCAACGCCTTTTTAAAGGAATTTATTGGTGTATAAACTGGACCAAGTCACTCACAAACATATCATAAAAGTCATTCGGACTTTTATTTGTTTGTGAGTGAATTGGTCGAGTTTATACACCAATAAATTCCTTTAAAAAAGGCGTTTTAATTTTATAATAATTTGAGGGAACAATATTTTAATTGACATTTGCATACGAGAAATTTGTTCAACACATCAGTATATATAAATTTACTAATATTCACGTGCTCTAAAAACCTCATTCCAAATATTAATTCAACCACCGTCAATCCAAATTCCCCATCTAAATTCAGCACTTTTTATAATTGCGTCAAAGGTGGCAATGCTGCTGCAGCCAGATTATTCAATAAAAACGCACGTGGATATCCACAAATATTTCCGTGCAATGCCAGAAAATGACAAACCTGATCTAAATTATCTTCTGATAATACTGTAAGGTCAACAGTGAAGAGGAGAGCTTTTTCGCTTTCCTTTTCCTATGACATTACATGAGAGCCCAAAGCCTCATTTATCTGGTTACATGAACAAAGCCAAAGTGTGGTATACAATATGTAGGACAAACAGGACGGGAGTTTTTTAAACGAACACAGGAACATCTATACCGCGTCCGAAAACCTAAGAAATTCAAAAGCATGATTTATCAACATTTAGGTAAACACAACCACAATATTAAATTTATTAGATTTCAACCGCTCGAAACGATCCAGAAACAACAAGGGCAATCGCATAAACAGTTTGAAGATTCCCGTAAAATTATCGAACTGTCTTGGTTTAAACGACTTCAAACAGCGTATCTCCTGGGTCTAAATGACAATATACTTGGACAAGGGAACATATCTACAATTTCTTATATTGATATCATGAATATTATGGATAAAAGACAACGAAATAATAGGTCTCATGGTAAGCGTATCAATCGAAATCAACGAATTAAACATCGTATAAATTATACACTTGGTAATCTCCTATCTATAGTTAAAATCAATGGTAGGCATCAATTATTATGTAAACTGGGTCAAATACCAATTAATAAATTACATGATATTTTCAAGGAGTGTGACACCATCTCTTTCTTCAGTCCGCTGTATGAATATTCGCGTATAATTACAGCTTTTTGCCACCATAGGCTGTTCCCGCGTATCGACAAACCTGAAGATCATAAACGTCATTTTCTAAAAATTAAATATATTAACTGATCTAGTATATATAATGACTCTACCGTTCAAAACGTCATACCTCCCTATTTTGATAGCACAGAACCACCTATTATTTCATACACATACAAAAAACCCAGCAGAAGTTAAATTTTTAATTATACGCCCGTAACATCAGATGTCAATGTAGAAAATAATACTCCTTTAACATGAAATTGTGAATCGTCGAAGTTTAGATATGTTCCCTATGGCCATGTTATTACGGGGGACCTCGATATCGTCCAGGACAGAGAGGTTAAAAACTTTTTGAAAAAAGGACCAAATTATCGTCCTCCATCTAAAATAGATTGGAAACAGTGTCGTCAGGTCACCGAAGATGCTCTTTCCTCGTTTTGTAAAAATTGGTGTAAGCGGGAAAAATCTGATAAAAAATCTCTTGATTTTTATTTAAATAAATGTATGAATGTGGTAGATAATAGAATATCACATTTTGAAAATAATTTAGAAGTAAATAATTAAACGCCTTTTTATGTATAAACTGGACCAAGTCACTCACAAACATATCATAAAAGTCATTCGGACTTTTATTTGTTTGGGAATGAATTGGTCGAGTTTATACACCAATAAATTCCTTTAAGAAGGCGTTTAATCCTATTCTATGCGATGAAATGTATGTAAAATAGTGTCTGTAGTGTTGGACAGGATATAACTTTGCTATTTTTTTCTTTATCTGAAACAAAGATAAATTCTGCACAATCTTTTGAATAGTGCCAATTTAACAAAGACTTATAGGGGAAATCAAGGGTGGTATTACTTACAAAAGAGGCTTAGAATTACCTGAAATCAATCAAAACTTATAATTAGGCAAAACTTTGCAATAATATTGGTACTGTTTTTCTTGCAAGTTACATAGGCTATTAGTACACAAAAAGAAATCAATCTGGGTACAATTTTATTAAGTTAAAGAACCCAGACTAATATTTAATGGTACACAGGACGACAATTACCTACTTTGCTTTATCAGACCAGAGCTGATTATCTATGCAAAATGATTACTCACGTCAAAAGTGATAACCTAGATTTTTTTGAAGCACATGTTCACAAATACGAAAAGTAATTATAGGTCGAATTCCACTTTAGTACTTGAATTGAATCCATTTTTTTTGGCCTTTTATACCTTCGGTGTGAAATTTTTTAACAATCAATAAGTATAATTATTACTACTTTAAGAAGTATTGCAAGTTAATTGGTAAGGTTTTCGATTCAATGCTTTGATACTGTTATTACAAATTATTTTGTAATAAAAAACTAGTCTTGATTAATTTGCAAACAAAACAGTGTGAAATTAATTTTTTTTATTGATTGTGAAAATGTTTAATTTATCAGTATAAATGACAATAAGGCGAATGCTTGTCTTTTTTATAGCGGAAAACAATCTGGTAATTGTGATATTTAAAGTCGATTACAATCACTTATACTTTTCTCCTCTGTTCAACATAGTTATTCAGCTTTTATTATACCCATAAATATACATCATTTACTATTAAAAATTACCTGAAAATTGCATATAGATATAGGAAGATGTGGTATGAGTGCCAATGATGTCAGTTTTATGTTTCGTTAAAACATTTCATCTAAAGATTAATCATAGGATATTCTAAACTCTACCGGTACTTTTATAAAATGTCATATGTCCATACTAACAACGTAAAAATATTGTTTAACAAAATTCTAATTTAAACCTTTAAACACTAATTGTATGTCGACAAGGCATACCAAGATTTAAAACTTATCTTCTTTATTTAGCTTTTGAATTCGTTTGTCTTTACACAAATATTGATCTCTTCTAATTTCAGAACAAATTTAAAAGGCAATATGATTATTTTGTGTAATGAAGGAAAACAATTGTTCATAAACAATGATCTTTGAAACCGACATCATAATAAAAGATGGAGATAAAACTATCGGGAAATATCAAAAACAATATGGTAGGGAGAGATGAACAAAAACGTTCACAAAACGTTTCACAGAAAAAAAAAATCGGCAGCAGGAACTACAACACAAACCGGTATGAACTCGTGTGCTATAGAAGGTGTAGCAATGTTAGATTCATTCATGACACTCGTTGTCATACTTTCGTTACAATCCCGTAACAATAAACCGTTATACGACTTCTTACAAGACCAGATTGGAAAATGTCTTTTGTGAACCCCCATGACATTCCAAAAATTAATACCAAACAATTTATGTATTTTTTCTCAATCTTAACCATTAACGAATGAGAAAGTTTGAAATAAGAAATGAAAAAAACTGGCATTCCAAATGACGATTATGTTAGACCTAAATCAACGGACCATACATATTGCACAAAAGGACCAATATGGGATGCTTTTTCATTTTATAGAATTACCTGACATTTTCGATGAAATTCTTCTGATAAGAATAATTATGCAAATAACAACTATGGCTACCCCAAATACTGTTGAGCATATTGCAATTATCACAGTCACACTGTTTCCTGTAGAATCTGGTGATGTTGTGGCTTCGGAGGTGCTGATTGTGAATTTATTCTGTTCTAAAATATAGCATAAACATTGTCTTTATTTTATTTCTGGATGGAATTTAATCGTTCAAAAAATGAAAATGTCACTCAAGATCATGTACATTTCATATAATTGCAAGATTGTAAGTGCTTGTCTCAAAACGTTTAATACAATATATAAAGAACGTGAAGGATTGTATTCGCATTATCTTTCATATGAAGCATCATTTCAGGAATCTATCATGTCATTTTCTTATGTACGTAAACGCATTTTCTTCTCTAGATATGGGATACAAATAGTCATTATTGCATTATAGCAACCGATGGTATACATCTTGTCTGAACTTATTTTGTTTCCTTAAATGAAGCTCCAGCCCTAACAATATCATTACACCAAGAAGAATTACAAGTCTTACCTAAATTAATTTTACAGTACAACATAATACACCAACCACCTACAACTGATTAATCAATGTAAAAAGACATACAAGGCTTAAGACAGACATCACTCAGATAATCTGCCTTGGTGAAGGTACAACATGTGCTGAGGTTAACCCAAATATACGTGTGCTCAGGCCTTCTGTTTGCAAATTATAACAAAAATATTTGATATTAATTTCTAGATATGACATGTAACGTGGAATTAGACTTCGAAATAATTCTTTACTAAATTAAGGCTATTGTAGTTTACCCATTTTTTAAGTCTTATCAATCGAAAAGGACGGCAAATCAAGTTAAAAAAACGAAAACTGAGGGAATGGCATGAAATCCAAAAGGAGCGAGACCGGGTTGATCAGCAGTGTCAGTCTCTTCTGCTATGCATACATTGCCCGCATTGTTACAATTTGAAATTAGACACAATCGATAATTTAACTGAAAATACTAGTGTTCTAGAATGTAAAGATTAAGAACTGCGAAATTATGCCGCAAGTAAGTTAGGACACAGACAAATTGTTGGTGGGGCTACACATGTTAGCGGGATCCCAACCCTCCCCTAACCTGGGACAGTGGTGTAACAGTACAACATAAGAACGAACTATAAAAGTCAGTTGAAAAAGGCTTAACTCATCAGATGGATACAAATAGAAATACATCTAACAAAAACACGGAGTACATTTTGGCCGGGTACTTGTACATCACTCACAACAATAAAGACACAAAGTACAGATCTGAGAGGTCTCGCAGTCACTGACAGCTAGTTCAAAGCCAATAACATCTATTAACAAAATCATGAATCTAAGAATAGAATATCAAGCAATATACACCAACATCCAATGGATCCAATCGATTTAGTGTAAAAACGTTATTAACAGTCAGAGGCAAATAATACCATGACAAGCCAAAATATAGGTATCTACAAATGAGTTTGACTGTCCCTCTGGTATCTTTCGTCCCTCTTTGTGCATATGTGTATAACAATGATGTTTAGTATGGTTTCCCATAATTATTATGACTAAGGATATATAGGTTAATGTCCTGTTTCAACCAGTTGGCCGTCTTTATTATAATGATGAAAACTAAATTCATTAAGATGTATCAAATGAACGGAAATTGCAAGGCCAAAAAAGGGATGTTTAAACACACAAGTTGAAGACAAACTAACAATACAATGGCAAAAAACGAAAAACGACGAAAAGACAAACAACATATAAAAAAAAATGATTAAAGACTTAACAAACAGAACCCCATCAAAACCCATATGCTCCGATAGGGAAGGCAGATCCTGCTCAACAGGTAGCACCCGTAGTGGTTTTCATGGAGGTACAAATTCGGTGATAAGCCTCATGTGGTGATGTCAAATTAGTGGAAATGAGAGTGTGATTTTTGTTCGGACAATGTGAACATTGTTAGTCTTGTATTATTTTTAATTTTAGTTTCTTGTGTACAATTTGGAGTTTAGTATGACGTTCATTATCACTGAACTAGTATATATATTTGTTTAGGGGCCAGCTGAAGGACGCCTCCGGGTGCGGGAATTTCTCGCTGCATTGAAGACCTGTTGGTGGCCTTCTGCTGTTGTCTGTTCTGTGGTCGGGTTGTTGTCTCTTTGACACATTCCCCATTTCCATTCTCAATTTTATATCCATTTTCATCTACGAAAAAGACCTTCCATAACGGTCAACAAACTCGTGATTGCGTTTTTTTTCTTTGAGATAATTTCAATGTTACCACTTGGAACACTTGGTCATGTTTGTTGGTTAAATAGCTTTCATTTTAGCAACAACCCTCTTACCCTCTATAAGGAAAACATGATATAAAATGCAGGCTCTGGAATATCTTATCAACTTGGAGATAAGTATATACTTTGTATGCTGCTGAAATGTTGCTATTTAGTAAAGCAAACTTCATAATTGGGATGCTGCGATAATTTCTCAATCGTGATGTTTTGTTGTCAACAAACCCTCATTGACAATCATTATGTATAAGACAAGATGCATTGCAACAGGCAGACTAAATTGTGTCTGTGATATCCTTTATTTCAAGTTGAATGGTATAGATGTATTCAACATATTCTCAACACTTTGAATTATTTGGTGTGAAAACATCATCTTTATAACTTCTGCTACACGGAACAGTGAAGCATTTGATTTTTGTGTTCCACGGAACATCCTAAGGGATACCCCATTTGACTCACGTACAGCTAGAAGGAAGTTATGTCTTTAAAAAATTCAGATACTTTTCAAAATTAAAACCATGTACTGATAATTTTTTCTACTGTTTAAACACACCCGCTACAATATAAAAAAAGTTTACTGCTGTACCCCCATTTTTAACAGTTCCACCTTTTATGTCTGTTTGTTTTGTTGTCGATATAATGAAATTATATGCGACTGTCATACAAGTGAAAGGTTTTGCTAGCTACAAAACAAGTTTTAATCCACTATTTTCTACATGAGGAAAAGCTGTACCAAGACAGTTGTTTTCCATTCATTTGATGTGTTTGAACTTTTGATTTTGCTATTTGATAAGAGACTTTTCGTTTTGAATTTTCCAAGGAGTTCGGTATTTTTGTTATTTTACTTTTCAAAGAGTAATGCTAGCTTCTTTTCTTTTTCCTAAGAAGCTATTATGAAGTATACCTCATATGAAATAAAGGAACTAGTCAAGTAAATAAATTAATGTACTTTGTATTACCTTGTTCAATAACAAATAATTGGTTCACCTCTCCAAAACTGTTCAGAATCACGCATTTATACAGTCCATACTCAGCTTTGTGTACAGTTAAGTTGCTAATGAAACCTTCTTCGTTTACCAAAACACGATGTTGTCTGATTTGAACAATAGAATATGTTGTTGTTTGTAGAAATTTAGTTCCTAATGCAACTGGTTCATTATCATAATACCACTTTGGATCACTTGGAAATGGTTTAGAAAAAAACGTTACAGAAAAAACCGTATCACTACCATCGACTGAAGTGGAGTGTGATATGACAAAAGGTGGACCTGAAATAGAAAAAAGAATGTGCAAGATTGTTTGTTTCTTTTTGGTACAAATAAAGGCAATAGTAGTATACCGCTGTTCAATAGTAATAAATTGATTTAACTGAAAAAAATCCGGGTCACAAACCAAAACTGAGGGAAACACATCAACTACAAAACCCCAAACAACAGAAACATTGAACTGCTACAAAAACAATCGCCAACATACATAGAAACCGACTATTTGATAACTATTTGATAATAACTGCCCTATTCCTGACTTGGTACAGGACATTTTAAGAAAAAATGATGGGTTGAACCTGGTTTTATGGCTAACCAAACATCTCGCTTATATGGCAATGTTAAAAATACCGCTAAAATGATAACATTACGTTACAGGAATATAGTACAAATAAACACTCGGGGCAGAGAAATACATAAATAAATAATATAATAGTACATTTCAACATGTAAACCACAGAATAACAACGAACACCTAAAATTAATTAACGACAGTACACAAATACAGCATAATAAATTTATGAACTGTGCGTTACACGAATGTATCAACGCCACAAAAAGTGACGTCACAGGTAAATTTCTAAAAATTTAATATAAAATTGGGATTAAGTTAGTAATGGTGTTATTTGATGTATTTTCTAACAATTACAAGAATATTAATAAAGAATTGTGTTAGTAATCGTGTAATTATTTGTATGTTCTAACCATGTCGGTTTTTCTTCTAAATCAAACTGTGTAAAAACAAATAAATCCTGTGCATATAGTTGCTCTTAACTAGAAATCATATAAATGAACTACGTTCTACAATCTGTCGATTCCTGTATCTTGGCATTGCACAATGTCATGTTTTTCTCTGACTGTTTATGACGTCTTTACACATAATCCATTTGATGTTGGATGTGTAATGATTGATAATTAAGTCTTAGATGCATGTTTTTTTTTATTAGTTGATATTGGCTTTGAACTATCTGTCAGTAACTTCGAGTACTCTCAGATCTGTACTTAGTGTCTTTTTGTTTTTGGGATGTACCCATCCACGTCCACTCTGTGTTTTTGTTATATGTATTTCTATTTGTATCCATCTGATGAGTTAAGCCTTTTACAACTGATTTTTATAGTTCGTTCTTATGTTGTACTGTTACACCACTGTCCCAGGTTAGGGGGGGGGGGGATCCCGCTAACATGTTTAACCCCGCCACATTCTGTATGTATGTGCCTGTCCCAAATCAGGAGCATGTAATTCAGTGGTTGTCGTTTGTTGCTGTGTTACATATTTGTTTTTCGTTAATTTTTTTGTACATTAATAAAGCCGTTAGTTTTCTCGTTTGAATTGTTTTACTTTTGTGACCTCTGGGCCTTTTGTAGCTGACTATGCGGTATGGGCTTTGCTCATTGTTCAAGGCCGTACGGTTACCTATAATTGTTAATTTCTGTGTCATTTGGTCTCTTGTGGAGAGTTGTCTCATTGGCAATCATACCACATCTTCTTTTTTATACGTGATTAATTATCTTTATTTTTACATTCATACAGAAAATTAAAACAAAATAGAATTAAAACCACAAACGATAAGACATAAAACAATATCCAATCAGAATTACAAATAAAAGGTCATAACTGAATACATGAATGTTGGATGTACAAATACCGATACACATCTAATAGCAATGCGAAATCACACTCAGCAAAAGAGTCATAATCGGGAATAGGTCACGTTCGTTACTTAAAAGACCAGACGACATATTTGGTAAACCACAATCTAAGACGTGGTAAAAATGTTGTTAGTTAGTTTAGACACAGACACATCGTATAGATCAACCAATTCGTGATGGTGTCCATAAAATTTACGGAGTGTAATTTTTAATCTGTTCTCCTCATAACTCTGTGGGAGCAGTTTCTGCGTAAGGAGCACACTCCTGTATATGAAGTCCGTATAGTGTGAACATGCACGAGCATAACGTATCAACTGAGATATGTAAACACCATACGGTTGTGTATGTTAATAGACAATAATTGATTTTTTTTTCTCTTATTTAACACGCTATTTGTAATCGAACAGACTGTAAAAGTGTGGTTCAAAGAACTTTTATGCAATTGTTTTAGTTCATATTTTTGCTTTATAGGCAGTAAGCAAAATGGGAAAATTACCAATTAAATGAAATCAATTAACTGTCAAATGCACTTTTTGATAGGATTCTTTAATCGTGTTGTTCTTTCAAATTCATTTAACATTTAAAAGCACTTTGTACCTTGTTTTGCATATGGAAAAAATAATATTAAATCAAATCAACAAGGATCAGGTTGGTATAATGGATTGAATCAAGTTTGTGTTTTAATCTTAACTAAGAAAGACAGATACAGTCCTGTCAGAAAATTGATCAACCCAGTGAGTAATAAAATGAAAAGATTGTATAAAAAACAAACACAAAAAACGCACAAACACACACACACACACATAAATATTTAATAAAAGAATGTTACGTGTAAACAAACTTCGTTTGAGTGAAGCAAATGGCAAGAGATGACGATGTTTTGAACAATATTTACCGCTTACGGACAATGTTGTAGACATTTCCATTATTGTCTGGCCGAGTATATCTGTTTTCTATCTACAGGTGTAATCACCGGTATCTTGACTATTGCAAAATGGAATAGTCAGAATGTTTGAGGTATTAACATGCCTGCCTTGGAGTGAACGAATAGTTTCTCCAGCGTTCGAATGAATCCAGGAGATTGGAGTGGCGCCGACCAATTTTAAAGTACACTTTAACTCAATACTATGTGATGTGTCACAATAGGTCCGTCTTTCCAATTCTAAACTAGCTGAATAATAATTAAAAAAAAACCAACATATTATATCCTTTATACCCTTCTATAGTTCTACAACTTAATACATACATCTATTAATAAACTCTAAAGGCAACACATACACATAATTGATCATTTATTTGTTACAAAAAAAAAGATGAAAATTACAAATGTTTGTCTAATATTTCATAAGAGAGGTACATTTACTATTTTCCCCTTTATATTGACTATATCTAGTATAGTATTATAATTTTAAGACTTTCTAGTTTACTTGACAATTAATTACTGATGTTTGGTTTGCTTACTTTTTACGATTACTTTTTGGAATGGGGTCATGTCGTTTAATCTGTAGTTTTCTGCGCAGTGATTTATCTAATGAGAAATACTGATGATGTTTTATTTATTAAAAAGTAGGAATATCATCTTGGTATCGTCTTACTTATTTTAAAATTTAGAGTATCAACATGTTGTTCACATCTAATACACATTCATGTATTTCATTTAAACACTTTTAATCGTGTAATGTCTTTTTTCAAAAATGGACTGACCATATCTTTATGAAAATATTTGAAAATTACCTGGTCCTAAAACAATTTGTTCTACAACTAATCCATATGAATTAGACATCTCACAACTATAAACATCGCTCGGGCGTCTCTTGAAATTATGAATCGTTAAGTTTGATATAAATCCACCAGTCATAACATCCACATTGTACTGCTTTATTCCAACCGTCATGTCGTTTACTGAAATGGTGTATTCTGGATCTCCATTTAAGTTGTTGTTTCCGAGCAACCATTGAATTTTGAAATCGTATGGGATGGAATAAAACACAACGGACAAAATTAAATCATCTCCATCGTCCTCTGTATGCTGATTCAATACAATAGGAGGACCTATAAAAACGTAGTTATCGCTATTAAAGAAGTCAGAATTATTTTAGTTTTACAAATTATAATGGATGGAGGGGTGGATGGCTGTTTAACGTCAAGCTTCAAATGCATATTTAGGACGAGGACACGATTACTTTGGGTTGCACACCTAATTTTGTCAATATAATGGAACTATAAACAACTGTCATACAAGAGGGAGATATTTTGTTTTACTTTTATAGAATGAATTGGTTGATTTAACTTTACAAATTATCTGTTAAGTTCTCATGGATAAAATACAGGAAAAGTTGTTTTTATATGGTAATAACAGGCCTAGGGGAAATGTCAATAACTAAAATAACACGGTACTATAACTTGAATACTTGTAGACATAGACAAAAATAGTACCACAGAAAAAAAAGCAACAATGTGTAAAGCAGAGCAGATAAATCTGTTTTTGTCTCACTATGACAAACAACGACTAGACAGATTTCATTCACGATAGATATATTGGAGAAAACACTCGTCTCATATATTACATTTAATTTTATACTGACAAGTTTAACCATTTTGGCTAACCAGTAGATCTTGTCTTTCTGATTGTGTTTGCTAATAGAATCTTCTCTCCATTTATTATAATTTCAAGGTCATATTCAAAACACAACATTAGTAAACATGTCAGTTATGTGCGAAAATTTCTAAACGATGGATAATTATAATAAAAAGAAGATGTGGTATGATTGCCAATGAGACAACTCTCCACAAGAGAGCAAATGACACAACAATAAACAACTATAGTCACCGTACGACAACCACTGAATTACAGGCTCCTAACTTGGGACAGGCACTTACAGAATATGTTATGATTGATATTTCAGTGTTGGATGCATGATTTTTTTATTAGTTGTTATTGGCTTTGAACTAGCTGTCAGTAACTGCGAGTACTCTAAGATCTGTACTTAGTGTCTTTTTGTCTTTAATGTTGTCTATAAAATGGATTTTTTTTTATGCGACTGTCATACAAGTGAGAGGTTTAGCTAGCTATAAAACCAGGTTTAATCCAACATTTTTTACATAAGGAAATACCTTTACCAATCTAGGAATATAACAGTTGTTTGCATTCGTTTGATATGTGTTTGAGCTTTTGATTTCGCCATTTGATAAGGGACTTTACGTTTCGAATTTTTCTTGGAGTTCGGTATTTTTGTTAGTTTACTGTAAATGTTTATATGGGGATGTATAAATATCCTGCCATGTCCGGTCTTTTTTTTTGGGGGGGGGGGTATTTTTTTTTTCTATTTGTTAGATGTCTTTCTGCTTTGTTTCGATCTGATGAGTTAAGCATTTTTCAACTGGTTTTTATAGTTTATTCTAATGTTGTACTGTAACAACCCTATCCCAGGCAAGAGGGAGTAAATGGTTGTTTGGTTTATCTTCAGATTTAGAAAATTTTTGATACTGTCAAATGTTCCCGATCTTTACTAGTTTACAAGACAATACTCGCATGTTACCCTATGCTCTATTTTTAACTTTGAAGTCATGTTGGTAAGCAAGCGGACACATTTTGACTAGGACTTTTGGTCATACAACTTTATTTAGTACCGGGTATACAAAGTTTGTGCTCAAAGCACCAACTCCTGTATCAATTGGTTGTTTTCTGAGTCGGAGTTGGATAATCGTACTCGAAGCGTTTATGATTGTCGGGGCTTGTAATTTCGGGAAACAAAATCTTGTGGTTTTACTTTTGTCATTTGTTGTTCGAAAAAATGACAGACAGAGGGAAAATGTAAAAAAACATGATAAGAATCGTTTATAGTCTACTCATTGGTGTATATTAGAAATGAATTTAGGAATATTGAACAGCGACGAACTTCTGTTGCCCCTTATTTTCCTCTTCGATGCATTACATTGGTCAAACTCTAAATTAATGTACCAAGTCAGAATATGACAGTTGTATTTCACTTGTTCCGTTGGTTAATAACGTTTGATTTTGTCAGTTTTTATGGATTTTTCCTTTTTGAATTTGCCTTAGTGTTTGGTTTTACTTTTTTACTATCTGACTGAATGATTTATTTTGTTTTGATTATAAATATTTGACTGCATTTGTAATTGTAATCAAGATAGATTGACAAAACGAATGCAGACATGCACTACTGCTAACTTACCATTAACTAACAAATTTAGAGATCTGTTAATACTTGGGAGTAAAGAATAGTCTGTTGACAGCATGCAAGTGTATTCTCCAGAATCGTCATGATTACAAAATGAAAATTGAAGAGTATTTGTGTTTTCATCAACAAAATCTTTATTCAATTCCCTTATGAACTTGCCATTACGTGAATGTATCCAACGTATCAGATTTGTTGTTAAGTAGTTATATACACACGGAAGATCGACGGATTGAGATGCATTGCAACTCTGTACAGTTGATACATTGTCTAAAATAGATGGATAGATAAAAATATAATTAAAATACTCAAATAACAATGAATAAGTATCAATAAAAATAGTTCAGTGGATTTAATAAAAGAAATTTCCTTTTCTATGATTCTCCACTAAAGCAGACAAATCTTTCATTTTCAATTGCGTTATATTTCTCGGCTGATGCATGTAAAGCAGTAGATTTCCCTATCGACGCACCAGTCTCTCTCTTTTAAGTTCATGCTATTCCCACAGTGTTTGTATGTTACCTTGATTTGTTTTCTTAATCGAAATGAGATTTAAATAGCAGTAAACTACTTTTACCTTAAAACATTTACTCCATATTTATTCAATGTCAGGTTTCTTAAAATAAAAAAAGTGCGGTGCATAGAGGTGAACCCTCTTGTAGTACATACCAATGCAATGAAAGTCTTCAGGGACCAACTCGGACACTTTTTTGTTGTTGTTTGCACATATACTATCACTCTCAATTTTAAACTGCTTATCATGGCGTAAGTAAACTAACCACATCAAGTCACAGTCACACTGTGTATAAGCACCAGTAAAATATCTAAAATTGGATAAATTAAATTCTTCATTCCATTTCTGTCCATTTTGTTTTCATGTGGTTCCTCATGTGTGCAGATACTTATATATTCTTGACTTTCACATTTTTCAGTTTAAGCGTTCATAAAAAATGTTAATCGAGAAGGCGCTTCGGACGCACGGAATTTATAAAATGTGTTTTTTATTTTTATTTTTTTATGTATATACCATTACACATCTCAATGGTTCGGGGAATATGTTTTATATGCAAGAGAGACACTAGAACAGCTACATATCTTTGTTAGCTTTACGCGTAAAACGCGAAAGAGATCAGCTGCCTGACGCAGTTAGAGGCTATAATATAAGTCTCCTTTGATGTGCACACTTGCTAATCATCTGATATTGTCACTCGCAGGTGATACTTTACAGTATCAATATGCACACGCAACCGATAATAGATACATCTAATTTCTAGTAAATACACATGTCTTTTTTATGTACAGGCAATATACCTTTTGAATAGTTTGAAATTAACAAAAAAGAGTGCAAATTTGACAATTCTAAAATTGTGATAGTAAGTAACAGTTCATTGTACTACAAGAAAAACGCTGTCAGTTGACAATCATCGTTAGTTAAAATATAAAAAGAACAAAATCTTTACTAAAAACTATCTCTGAATTCCGTCACTTTTAGACCTTCGTTAGCAGTCATGTTGAATGCGGTGTACTTACATGAATTCTGAAAATGTAATCAATCGATTTTCTTTTATCGTAGAACTTGAACCAAGCACTCTGAAATTTGAAAAACGAAACAAAATAAGCCGTTTACATATCATCCGATGCAAACTATTAATGAAACCTAATTGTGCACTGTATATGAGAAATTAACTATAGCTCCACTTTTTTTATAAATAGAAAGGTAAATTTTCAGATGTATTTTTTTTTATATCGTAATGAAACGTATTCTACCACCTCTCCCTCAACCAAATTGGACTACCTGGTGAACAACGTCGACACACTATAGTGGCTAACAAGATTTTGAGAGGTAGACAAAATTGACCTTAAGGATGTATTCTTCTGATGTTTCAGTCTCGGTGAAATCTCGTTCGGGAATTATTTCCAAAACATGTGATACAAGTGGAAAATATTAATGAATCTAAAAATTATTATAATCAAACTAAACTACATGAAAAAATTGTGAACTTACAATAAGTAGTTTTTGAGTAATACAATTTTCAATTTTTATAAGCAATCCGGCCAGTGTCATCAGCCAAAATGTTGCGAAATTGGTGAAGAGTACAAAGAATTGATTTTACCAAAAATATGTACATCCCATATCAAATTTGTATTTCAAAATTCTTAGATATATATTTTTTCAATCATTCATAACAAAGAATAAAATTGAGAATGGAAATGGGGAATGTGTCAAAGAGACAACAACCCGACCATAGAACAGACAACAGCAGAAGGTCACCAACAGGTCTTCAATGCAGCGAGAAATTCCCGCACCCGGAGGCGTCATTCAGCTGGCCCCTAAACAAATATATATACTAGTTCAGTGATAAGGAACGCCATACTAAACTCCAAATTGTACACAAGAAACTAAAATTAAAAATAATACAAGACTAACAAAGGCTAGAGGCTCCTGACTTGGGACAGGCGCAAAAATGCGGCGGGGTTAAACATGTTTATGAGATCTCAACCCTCCCCCTATATCTCTAGCCAATGTAGAAAAGTAAACGCATAACAATACGAACATTAAAATTCAGTTCAAGAGAAGTTCGAGTCTGATGTCAGAAGATGTAACCAAAGAAAATAAACAAAATGACAATAATACATAAATAACAACAGACTACTAGCAGTTAACTGACATGCCAGCTCCAGACTTCAATTAAACTGATTGAAAGATTATGTCTTCATCATATGAATATCAGGCACAATCCTTCCCGTTAGGGGTTTAGTATCATACCATCATAACATATATGAGAAGAACATAACCCGTGTCATGCTAACAACTGGTTTTTAAATAAATGTGTTTAGTGCCGATGCAAAGACCCTATAAGTGAATCAATATTAACGCCAAAATATGCAATCTTTAATGACCTGACAACAGTATCGTAACTATATCCCTTCTTAATAAGTCTATTTAAAGGTTTTGTTAGCTTCAGAGGTGAATACTGACATTTTTGTGCTTTATAAAGAATATTTCCATAAAAAATTGGATGTGAAATACCTGATCGTATAAGAAGTCTGCATGTTGAGCTATATTTACGAATGATGTCCATATACCGATGATAAAATTTAGTAAATGTTTTGACTAGTTTGTGATATCGAAAACCCTGGTGTAATAATTTTTCAGTAATACATAAATTTCTCTCGTTAAAATCTAAAACATTGTTACATACACGAGCGAATCGTACAAGTTGAGATATATAAACACCGTAAGATGGTGACAAGGGAACGTCACCATCTAAAAATGGATAATTAACGATAGGAAATGAAAAATCATCTCTTTTATCATATATTTTAGTATTAAGCTTTCCGTTAATGATATAGATATCAAGATCGAGGAAAGGGCAGTGGTCATTGTTAGTATTAGCTTTATCTAAAGTAAGTTCAACAGGATAAATTTCTTTAGTATACATACTGAAGTCGTCATTATTGAGAGCCAAAATATCATCCAAATATCTAAAAGTATTATTAAATTTGTGTATCAGATGTTGTTTCGATGGGTCTTTGCTGATTTTTGTCATAAATTGTAACTCATAGCAATACAAAAAAAGGGTCCGCAATAAGTGGTGCACAGTTAGTTCCCATTGGAATTCCGATAACCTGACGATATACGGAATCTCCAAAGCGAACAAAAATGTTATCTAGTAAAAATTCAAGGGCATATATAGTATCAAAGCATGTCCAATTGACATAGTTTTTTTGTTTATTGCTACTAAAAAATGACCTAAAAGAGTTTGAACATATATATTCACATTCTGACTTTTTAAATGCCCATTTAATTAGGTGTGTGAATTTTTTCTTAATGAGAATGTGAGGCAATGTGGTATATAGGGTAGAAAAATCAAAACTTTGAACAGATTCAAAATCACCAATATATGCATGTAATTTATCAAGTACTTCAAACGAGTTCTTGACACTCCAAAAGTAATTAATTCCACTATTTTCGAAGGCCTTATTTGAACAATTTATTATCAGGTTGTTGATTGTACCAAGTGTACTGGTAAGAAGAATAGACAATTTAGTAGTGGAACAATGGCTTGAAGACGAAATGAATCTATATTTGTAAGGTGTTTTGTGTAGCTTCGGAAGCCAATACATAGTTGGGACTTTCATTGTATTTGGTTCTGCATGTAAAGCGGTAGCTAAAAGTTTATGTTTGTTACAGATATATATGCTTGTTACAGATATATATGCTTGTTACAGATATATATGCTTTTTGTTCTATAAAAAAAGAGAAAAATCCCAAATTTTAAAAAAACAGCATTGCCAATTTGACACGAAAAAGCAACAAAATTTTATAAAACTTTCTTATATTAACACCTAAATATAGTTTTTTTTTAAGTTAAATCTATTCAAATTGGTCTACTTCATCTTTAGTTGAAGAAAGAAAAAAAGTTAAGTTGTGAAACTGTAATTTTTGTTCATGATAATAGCCCAAAGATGGGTAAAAATTGATGCAAAATGGGAAAATCATAAAAATGGGGTACTTTCAAATGGACATAATAAAAAAAGGTCACCACCATATGATTTTTGTTTCATCAATTACTTTCTTACAGTCATATCAACCCAAAATTCAGGTTAAATTAAAAATTAAAAAAGTTTAATTTAAAAATTTTCTGGCTCATCAGAGGTGTACATCCTTAAGACGATCGTATCCAATTTTGATGTCCAAAAATAGGTAGATCGGACATTTTTTGACCTTATTTACTGACAACTTCTGTTTGTGAACAATTGTAATTATAACATTATAACGAGACTGAAAAATGCTTTTTTTTTGTTAAGTCAAACAATAATTTTACCTAGCGTAGCGTGCGTAAAATGTATTTTGGCATTTTTTTTCGAAAAATTACTTGTTTAATGTAATTAAACGTCTGATATTTGAATTTTCTCTTTTTTCTTGAGAATAGGCTATTAAAAAATGATTTATCTACGCTATATGTGGAAAATTTGGTGAAAATATAAGAAGTGGAAATTCTTACTTTTCATTCCTTTAGTTATTTATAAAATTATGATAACAAAATAATATGAACTCGTCCAGTTTCCAGTTTGAAGGTCATTTAATTTACTGTACACATTCATGCACGTTCTGATTTAATCAATGTATGAAAAAAAAACAGTTTAAAGGTAAACTAATAATAACTTTATCCAATCAAATTGCGTTAGATTCAGTAATAATGACCGGTCCACGACATAATAAATAATAAGGGTAAACTGGGTGGGGAGAAAAAGATTTTTTGTGATAACGAATAAACATTTGTCAACCTAAAGTTTTGCTATCATTTCAAAAACATGTTGTTCTGTAATGGTATAGTTTTCGGATCTTTCATTTGCGTATGTAAGGCAAAAGAAAGTTTGTGCTTCAAAAGTCTACATAATTATTGACTTTATATAGAAAATTTGCCCTTTAAAACATTTATTGCTTCACAAATACCACATGGATACAAAGTAAAATCATTTCTTAAAACACTGCAAAAAAAATCATTCTGATTGGTATAGTGGTGTTGTCATAAATTGCGTTGAAATGAAGAGTGGTATAGCAAACATCGAATTCCCTCACAAAATGTTATCACACACTAAAATTTAAAATTAAAATTCTGTACAAAATCCTCAAAATATGTTTACAGTTTTGAAAGTATATCTATTCAAAATGTTTAAAACTAGATGCTTCATGGATGAATTGCTGCTCGATTTCTCGCGGCATATGTAAAATAATATAATTAAAAGAAAATAAAATAAATGTTAATTATTGATAGATGCTAATGTTGACCTTTTTTTCAAGCTACAGAGACTATTCTATTTCAACAATGTTACATGCAGCCGGTATATATAAAACTCGAGGTAACAAAGTATATAAATTCTGTAAATGATGAACATACGGACCAGCTGAAATCTTTGATCTATGACAAATATTTTAGATTTCAGTTTTTACATTTTTTTAACTTCCCTTTCTTGAATAATAACATAAAATCTGCAACTACTTATGGTCTGTATGCAAGTTAGTTCATGAGATGGGCTACATCCTGATCTCATTGTATTTAACACAAGTGTACGCTGATCTTGAGAACAATGAGGAAGACCGAATGAAATTATCATTTTATTAGTTTTAAAGTTGGCATCACAACTTAGTCGATCAATTTCTTACCCCGTTTAAATTCAAAATACCAAGCGAAAGTTAGTTTATAAGATATGTTAGATTCTGTTTTCATTGTATTCTACGGATTTATGCTCTTATCTTGCAAATAATGATGGCTCTGTCATAAATCCCACTTGCTCACTATGCCAACCTAACATTATGAGTGGTTAGAAATCTATCTGTTTTTTAAAACTAACCTTTGGGTTTTAATTGTGAATCGTATGTTGAATGATGCGTACATAACCCTGTAGCAGCAAATTGTATGCAATATATGTTGACCCTCCAATAAGTCTCTTTTTTGTACTTTGACCTGTGAGATGTTTTTTAAACCATTAACCCAGTAAAACCCTTGCAAGGTGGGGCGTCCGTTTGGCTGTGCGGGATGTACAAGTACGCAGCCACGTTCGGTCAGAATGGGGACGTTAAATCCGATGCCTGGCGTAGAGAGAGTGCCTCGCTCTCTGCACGTTAAGAACCCTTGCAACAACTCTTTGAGGGGTCCGTGGGTGGCCTGTTGTAAGACTAAATTTCTGTTCCTATCCAATATACTCTCATTTTCCAGTGGCAATCTAAATTTCCCCAACCTACGGCCTCTATTACATGACCTACTTATTTTAATTGTTAATTTGTGCATCATTTAGCGGGAGATCATTTGTTATTCCTGGTAACGGGGGAGGGGGATATGGGCAGGTTGGTTTTCAAAATGAATATGCTGGCATGATAAGAGCTGAAATAATAATTTTGCCCTAGACAGGATGAAAAAAAGTATGAAAACAATACCTAAAAACTGACAAAATCAAACGTTATCAACAATGGAACGAGTGGAAAATAACCGTACAAGTGAGAGTTGACACTAAGTTGACTGCAAACATTGCATTTATCATGGGTCCTTGCTTTTGTCTGATGTCTTAAGATTTATATTTATTTTCTACATAATATTCAGATACACAATAAATATTACTGCTTTTATAATGGTTTTAGTTTCAATATCACTAGCATTTACGAGTTGTAAGCATTCACTGACCGAACAATTTCTACAGAAAATGTTTTTCCCCTTGATAGTGTAGAAAGTTTTGTGTATTCTTCAATGTACTTTTTGTGAGACCACTCATAAAGATTTAAATGGAAGTGTTGACATCTCAATCAACAAAAGTAACCCCGCCACTTCGTCATGTGCCATTTCTAAGTTAGGAACCATGTGGTTGTTTCTCATGTGTTTTCTTGTCTTTATAGGCAATTTCTTGTTGATGGCAAATATGTCAGTCTCAATTAAATGCATTCACTGATTTTCTTGACTCCGGACGATGTAAAACTGGAGATTTTGTATAGAAACTTGTTTTATGTGGAAACCCATATGCTGACCTCGAGATTTGTTGTGTTGTTAGGTTGTCAAGTGACCATCCCTTTGATGTTAACGAAAACTCTTTTTGCTTATGCTGTTTTGTTTCTATGCTTTTGATTTAGTCTGTTTTACAAACTGTTGGTTTGGAGCGTACCTAATGGTTTTTTTTTCGGAATCGGGTGTCGTGTGCATGAAAATAGGTAAATGCGGACACTGCCAAAACGACCCAAAACCCGCGCGCGCGCCCCCAACAAAAGTACTCTTCTTTCCTTTGCCCTTTTCGTAAAAATTCCACAAAGTTCATTTTTCGAATGCCGATGTCATTAATAGAAAGTTTTATCTTGAAACATCATATTGAGCATTGATTGTTGTCTTAAATGGAAACTATAAATTAAGGCAACAGTATTTAACCGATATTTAAATATAGTAATTCGATTTAGAAGATTCAAATCAAGGTAACAACCCAAACTGAGGGAATCGCATGTAGCGAAAACGGGTGTTTCGACTGCTATGCTTGCATCTCCCACCATGTGAATTCACAACTAGTCAAAATGGCACACAATCTAGATAAGTACACAATCGATACAATTACTAATCATACGACAATACTGGTATCTAATAGTCTAAGACCGCGAAAACATGTCGTCAGTAGATTTAGACAACGACACATGGATCGTTCAACCATGATATTCGTTACGGTGACCGTATTATTATGTAGTGTCGATTTCAGTCGTTCTTCCTCATACCTGTGTTGTTGCAGTTTTTGTACAAGTCATTTTTTAATAGAGTATTTAAAAAAAACATGCTTACAATTGATTGAAGTGAACATTCATGAAGGCATTCTTCTGTATATCTGTGGCACTGTTTCCTGCTAGAATTGTTACTAATGGTCTGGAAAATGATAAAATTCCACTTTTAAATGACTTATACATGTAGACAACGGCATTAACAAACTATTTCATACATACTAAATGGAATATATAAGGATACAATATTACCAACTGCTTCCCGGTTAAAAGGTAGAGAGGACGCAGTATTCCATTTCAATGTCAATCGTATACCCTTTGACCAGTTTTTTTTATTACCATTAAAAAAACTTAAGTAACACAACTTCGTACTGAAAAAGAGTAAAACAAAATCTTTCATGTTTGTGTTCTGCAATCATTTGTGTACTCAAAATACTACAGTAATGTTGGTCAAGTTTTGGACAACTTCACTATTTCCAAACTTTAAGGGAAGTGGTCAAAGTTGAAAGTCACAATTTTAACAATTTTTCCCAGATGATCTAGTAAAAAACTGCATACGACGTACCAAATTGACAAAAAAGTGGTGAACGTCTGGCATAATTGATCAGATATGAATAGAAACTAATTACATTTCCTTCGCATAAAAAATTTTTAAAAAATAACGGGGGGTGGCCAATTTTTTCACCCACTCCAATAATTTTTTACTGTTCTTCTTTAATAAATTCAACATCATTTGAAACTGGAATGCTGTTAATTTCAGATCATTTTGAGTATGTTCTACAAAGATATGAGCCCTCAAAGTTTGAACGCATTAATCTCAATGGTAGTGTTGCAAAAAAAATCTTTAAGTAGTATATATAAAAAAGTATAACAAAAATACTGAACTTCAAGGCAAATTCAAAAAAGAGGAAGTCCATAAAAAATGACAAAATCAAACGCTATCAATTAACGGAACAAGTGAAAAACAACAGCCATATTCGTGACTTGATATAGCCATTTTCCAATGGTGGGTTAAAGCTGGTTTTATAGCTAGCTAAACCTTCAACTTGTATGACAGTTATTAATAGTTCCGTTATCAAAAAATTGGGTAAGCAATTTAATTGACATAATAGGTTAATGTGACAATCATTTGGATCCAGAAGTCAAAATTGTGTAAACATACATCACAGACATACAACACAAATGACTTAAACATTCAAACAAACATACAATTTGATCTAACAAAGAAGTCAACGATAAAGGTGCAGTAAATAGTTATAACTCATCATAGATGCCAAGACCAATAGTTTGTACGCCAGACGAAAGACTCATCAGTGACGTAAATTAGACAATGACGTCAGCAACAAAAAAAGATTTTGTCGTTGATAACATACCGTATATAGTATACACTTTCTCGATAAAGTAAAGATTAAGTAAATAGAAATACAAGGATAAACAACACTGTTAATACCCTTTTTGTTCGAATTGCATCTAAGATCCACCTGTACAACATTATACAGTCCAGTAGTAATCGTTTGTCGCATGATGTTTCTTAATGTTATGTTATTTATTTACGTAAGTTAAACCGTAATTTGTCAACATATACAAAAATCGATTTGATGAAAAAGGGATTGTCTATGGTATTCTTTAGATGTTAAATTATAAGTTTTTTGCAAGATGTGTACAAAAATACTTGTACTAGCTGTAGTTTTTCATAAAAGTTAAAGTAATTTATGAACAATAATAACGAAAACATTTTGAGCATTATGGGACAAATGAGGATCTAATACACAACATTTATGATAGGCAGTTCAGCATATTTCCACTATTTTTGAATAAATGGCTGACATTTAAAACAGAAATTTCAATTGATTTCTTTTACATGATAAACCTTTGTTTGAGGCAACATCTGAGAACATGTAACCATAAACACTTGATCTGATATATATATATGTACTATTACTTATCGTTTCCACTACATTGTCACCCGAACCAGAACGCTGACCTGTAGTTTTTCTTACATCCTTGTCTCATTGGCAGTCATACCACAATTTATTTGAATGAATGTAAAAAATGTAATAAGCGTCAACTTCGGTTCTTAGATCCTAGAAACTTTCAGAGCTGAGCGTACGTATTCTTTAAAGTTCTTATCAAATGATATTGGGGAAAACAATATCCAAATTTGACGAAAAATTAAGATCTATGTTTCATGTAAGTAATGCAAATATTTTTCTGTCATTTGGCCTTATATGACTCTATAAGTGTTAGATTTCCTAATAAAAAAAATAAACTTTAGTAGGCATTTCATATGAAATTCAACGATTGTTTTATAGTCACTATTAAAGACCAAGCAGTTGACCTTAAATTGAACTGTTAAAACACTGTAAATGCGAAATACAAGAAAACATATAAAATATTTACAATGGTTTGACACCCTTTGTCCTTTTTACAAAAAGAAAACTGAGTGCCACGAGAAATAACAATAAATTATAAAACATATTTGAAAATTCTATACTGCCTTAGCTCGTTCTACTTTTTTGTTTTTTTATAAGAGACAGTCAAATTTTTCGAGTTTTCCATGAGTCAATTTCCTCATTTAAAGTTGTAAAATGAGATTGTTTGAAAAGTCGGCCGTATGGGATGACACTTGGTGCAAGTGACAGCTCTACCTTAGTAATTGATGTCATCCTGGTTTGTCCACTTCGAGTTGTATTTGTATGAAAACATATGGTTTGTTGTTTTTACAATTGTAATGTATTTTTACTTGGTAATCATATTTTATTTGTGCATGTATTTCAACAGATAAACTTTATCAAGCATACTAAATTCTACTATTGAATTATTGGAAATATTATGATTTAAAAAAAAAATCTGCAATCATATGTACAACAAAAAAAAAATAAAGATGTACAAATTTGCAGGAATAACTTGATTTAAAGTTTCAAGGAATATGCATTGAATTTTATATCCGTTTTTATAAAGTAAACAAATAAGTTCTGAAAAAAATTAAATGTAGAAGAATGAAACTAGACAATTTGAAAACATAAATTTACTATTCATATTAAACTAATCTAATGTATAATTTAGTTGTTAATTCCCTTTTGATATATAATAAAACAGTAAATATAGATATAAAAATGAACCTGTTAAATTCCCCAATTTTTATTATTGACATAATGTGAACAGTGCTCTGCATCAAATCGAATACCATTATGCTTAAATCATTTGGTGTGCAGTAGGAGATTTCGCTTACCAAAAAAAAAACGCCGATAAAATGTCATAGACACCCTCCAGGGTCGCCGCCATTAACAAAAAACAACAAATAAACAAAAAAAACAAAAAATAGTAGACATATATTGTTGTGCCAAAATTATTGAAAAATAATTCTCTTAGCTATAGCCTCCAATTATTTATTTATTCGAATTAGTTTTCTGTTGTTTTTCCTTAGAAAGCCATTTATAAATATCTCCCCTCTTCTCTGGCACACATTTGTTGTCCTCTATTACTTTAATCATCAGTTTTCCATCCATCATATCACCCACTGACTTGACAATTTCCTTTGTCATAGACACTCGCATGTCCTGCTTTTCTGCATTTAATGTCCTCATAATCAACCTCTTGTTCATCTTCAATAGTCTCCTCGAACAAATCCTAGATTTGTCTCTCATGCCATTTTTGCAGGTTAAATGCCATGTCACCATGTTAATCGTTTCTTCTATGTTTCTTGGTCGCTAAGTCAAAACATCATATGCCTAACTCTGATCAGGTAATCCAAAGAACCAATATTCAATGCTGATATTATTGAATAATTGCTTGTCCTTTCCATGGTAAACTTTCCTAACAATGCCTTACATCCTAGCAGCATATTCATGGATGCTTTCTTTATATTGTTTCTTAACGGTTCGTAACTCACGCCTGTACGCCTCTGGGAAGTTGTAATTTCCAAAACGTTTTCAATTTATGAATTTAGTAGCCTAAAGGAAGTGCGAACTTCTTGAGCTAAATCTATGGCAAAGGTAAGGCCTTCTTCATCCTTAAGGACTAAAAAAAAATCTTCTGTTTGCTGTCATGGACTCAAGTTATTGCGTTTAGAATCTATGACAAACGAGACTATTCTAATTTTGAAATTATAAGCTTCCCCCACCTTAGCAGTAATATACCAACTTCACCTGCATATGGGATATACATTTCCCAACTCATTCGGTAATTTTTGACATTTTTACCTATTATGTCTGTTTGGTTTGCTCACACATTGTTGTCAATATAATGGAATTATATGCGACTGTTCTACAAGTGAGAGGTTTATCTACCTATAAAACCAGGTTTAATCTACCATTTTCTACATTAGGCCTTTATTCCTGTACAAAGTCAGGAATATGACAGTTGTTTTCTTTTCGTTTGATGTGTTAGAGTTTTTGATTTTGCAATTTGATAGGGACTCACAAATATTCAGAGGAGGCCCTAAACTGAATTCGTGGTTCACATGTACCCACGAAATCTACGAAAATGGGTATCCAACGAATAATAATGAATCCACAGTAAATAGATATACATTACCTAATAATTGTTTGAAGTAAATACTACGCGGTAGTTCTTAAGAATTAAATTATACATAAAGAGAGTCATATAGTTACTACATATCAGTTTAGGGCCTCCTCTGAATATTTGAGAGTCCCTCCTATGTATTGGATACCCAAACTACACGAAACAAAACCTTCAAATTTCGTTTCATCCCGGTCTCTAGTAAGTGTTCTACGATTTTCTTTCTTTGCTCTTAACCAGTTCCCTTACTTCTATTGAATAGTTTGTTATCAATTTTTGTAAACTCTTTTGATGTTTTGGATCAATTACGTGCTTTTGATGGTTCGTTCAGTTTGGTTGACAGTTGTGACTTTTCTACTCTGTACACTACAATTTCATACAATCTTATAAACCAGAAGTTCACTCATTTAATTTAATGGTCCCTTGGAAAATCAGATTGCAGATTTATTTGCTGCAGTTCATATAAAGCTTTCTTCTTTAGGGAAAAGGGAAATACGATTGATGTACTTACCAAATCTGACCATATTTCACTTTAGTATGAAAATTGTAAAGCCGTATCATAAATCAGTTTAATATATACCTATTAGTAAATACAGATAAATTGTATGTGTAATACAATCATTGGCAAGCGTGCTGTATCAGCCACCCGTAATGATATCAATATCAGCACGGTTGCAAAGGCTTTATCACACCTTTAATCTGTATGACGTCCCGTCATCGATTGCAGTCACTGTTGCAAACCCTAATCTGTATGACGTCATGTCAAACTTATAATCTGTATGACGTCATGTCAAACTTATAATCTGTATGACGTCATGTCAAACTTATAATCTGTATGACGTCATATCAAACCTCCTTATCAGTATGACGTCATGTCACATAAAAAGCATCTACGTGAGGTATATGTATATAATAAAGTGTATATGATATGGCTTTTTCAATATCACACACCGTATCAACCTTCAACCAATATAATCCCTCGAGCAGAGCTCTTGGGATTATATTGGTGTCTCGGGTTGATACGGATTTGATATTGAAAAAGCCAATAATATTCTCTATATATTTGTAAATTCAGGATGGATTTTATAATATAAATGACAGCAATATTTGAACACAATGACTACAAAACTTTTTCCGCCATCAATTTAGAGTGCCAGCATATCCTCTTTTTATTAAAAATACTGAACGTCACAAAACATCAGAAGTTTTCATATCTTAGGCTAGTTTGTTTAACAAAAATATTTGATCGCATCAACTAAAACTAACCATGTTTGCACTTTATTATGAAAATTGTATAGCCATATCATAAATCAGTAAATTTGTTAACTCAGAAAAATTTCATAATACAAATGACAGCAATATTGGAACACAATGACTACACAATTTTGTTCGCATCAATTTAAAGTGCCAACATGTCTTCTTTTTATTCAAAATATTGAACCGTCACAAAAATCAGTAGTTTTCAAATCCCAGGCTGCATCAACCAAAATTGACCATGTTTGCACTTTATTATGAAAATTATATAGCCATATCATGAAGTAAATTTGTTTTATGATGGACTGTATTATACCAATGACAGCAATATTGGCATTCAATGGCTAAACAATTTTGTCCGCATCAATTGAAAGTGCCAGCATGTCTTCTGTTATTTGTATTTAAATACCGAACAGTCACTGATAATCAGTATTTGTATATCTCAGGATGGTTTTTACAACAAAAATGTGAGCCAGCATCAACCAAAACTGAGCATAGGTGTACTTTATGATAAAAAGTTTATGGCGGTATCATCTGGGAATAGTATACTGACTGACTGTCAGTATATTATATCGGTTGATTGATTGGTTGATGGTTGCTTAACCTGCAATGGCAAATATTTCATACAAGTTCATGGCGAGTTAATTATGTCAGACGTTCCAGATATCATTAATCGGTGAAGATGACTCTGCCAGAATTGACGACAAGCTTAAGAATTATACAACACATTATACAATGTACATCCATACACTATACAACTTTCGTTTGAATATTCAGTCGAAAAAATAAGCGAAATCTAAGGCAAACAAAGTGAATCTCGATGAAAAATCCATGTATTGCATATAATATAGAATTAGGAGGAGACAGTTAAAAATGGCGAATAAAGCAACTTTAACAGTGTTGTTAATATCCCATCATATAAAAAAATATTTGTCTAATATGTTGGATAACCTTTTTATCCGCTTTCAAATTAAAAAAAAATTTCCCCTTCTTTTATGATACCTGCATGTTTATATGTCAATCAACAAGTGCGAAATTGTATAGCCAATATTTTATGTCAACAAGCAAACAGAATGCCAAAAAAAAGAAGTTTTAATTTGTATCTATAAAGTCATTAAAGAATATAATAATTTGTTGGACTGGAAAATAGAACAGTACGATTAATGTTTATATAAAAAACGTTCAGTATAAAAATAAGGAGATGTGGTATGATTGCCAATGTGACAACCATCCACCAAAGTTCAAATGAAATGGACGTAAGCAATTTAAGGCAATCGTACGGCCTTCAACAATGGTAAAAACTTATGCCGTATAGTCGGCTATAAAAGGCCCTGACATGAAAAATATGATACAATTCAGGTCTGATATGAAAAGTCTTAAACACAGTAATCTGTCAAAAGCAGACCTGTCCCTACGTCTGGCCAAAAGCTGACATATTATCATGCAGAAAAAGTCAAAAGCAGACCTGTTCACATGTCTGGTTTGGATCAGAGTTGCCAAAAGGTCTGAAAGTCCTAAAATAGTAGACCTAGGATTGGTCTACCACCGACGGAGTAAACATGTTTGTCTGCTAAAAATTTATTAGATTAACTTAGAATATGACAGTTGTTTTCCATACGATTGATGTGTTTGAGCTTTTGACTTTGCATTTGATAAAGGACTTTCCATTTTGAATTTTCCTTGGATTTCGTTTTTTTGTTATTCTATTTCTCAAAGTTATTTCGAATAAATACTAAAAGTCTGTAATTTTTTACAAATAAGCCAAACTATTGTTAGAACCAATAAGTAGACAATAAGAGCTGGAATAACATGAATCGAGGTAAAGATTGAACGATTTTTTTTCCAAAACGGTCCTGATGAGAAATAAATTTAGACTGAGGGGAAATAAGATCTACCTCTTTGAATTAAAACGTCCATTTGGGGATTCGATATGTCAAAAGCAATAAAAAAAAGGCGTAAGATCCAAAGGAACATTCAAACTCATAAGTCGAAAACAAACCAAAAAACACCGTGGCAAAAAAAAAAACGAAAAACGATCAAATGAAAAACAACAGTAAACAAGCCACAACATAATAACAATTTCATTCGATAGTGTCACTTTGTTCTGGGGGTTGGGTAATATTTTGTGATTCATAGCAGTTCATGGTATACACATTTACATAAACACCTAACAGGCACATGACGCGGTTAATAATGTTTTTTTGGTTTTATGGATATGCGTTGACTATTATATTTCTGAAGCAATATCTATTGGAATTCAGGAGATGAAGTTGGAGATGAACAATGTCTATAGAAATGTACTGTTTCTTATATTTCTTATTTTTGATATAAATAATGGTGTATTAGACACATTCCTTTTTTACATCCTAATATCAACTTACAAAGCTGCTGTTGAAAGGTTCACAAATGCTTCTGTCTCAATCTTCTTTAAAAATGGAGTTACCCCAATACTAAAACAAAATTCTTTTAAAAATGACAATGAATTGATACGAAACTAAAAGCTACATAAAGTTAATTGGAAATATGTATTAATGAATATCTTTATCGGAACTAACTTAAATTAATTTAGATAGTTTAATACATACTTAAATGTGTATTTATATCCAGTTATTGAAACTAATAGCCATGTATCCTGTCGATACTCATATTTAGCATTGTACAAAGTCATGCTTTCACAGAATGCTAATGACATATTAACACTACACTAGTTGGGTTTCTAAGTTAGTTGGGAAAATTTTGGGCATTCAGCTGATTTCTCTTAAAAACAGTCAACAGTCTGATGATGACTTAAGATTCGAAACCAGTCGATTATCAATCCGCTATTTTGTGATATTTAATCTTGAAACAAATTATCATGGTTTTGCATAGGAGTATCACGACGGGTGTCACATTTGAAGCAGGATGTAGGATCTACTCACTCTCCAGAAGCACCTGAGATCATCCCCGGTTTTGGCGGTGTTTGTGGAAAACAGTCATTAGTTTTGTTTGTCGTTTGGTCCTTTTTCGTTTTCTGCAATGGTGTTTATAGTTAGTCATCGACTTATGAGTTTGAATATACCTTTATTATATTTCGCCTCTCTTTTATACAATCATCGAAGAGCTGATAAAAAGCAAAAATGACCAAAAGTAAAGCAAAACTCTGACAATGTATCAGAGCAATGCATTAGGGAGATACATTGAATTTACTTAATCCATAATGATTCCAAAATATTTATAACTCTACGGGTGAACTATGTGAAGCAGGATCTGTTAACCTTTCCTGAAAACCAAAGTTTACTCCCGGTTTTAAAAAGGGTTCGTGAAGCCCAGTCTACTATGTAGTGTTTTGTATACTGTTGTGTTTGTCATTTTTGTAGTATTTTGTTGTTTTTTTCCAATGGCGTTGTTAATTTCTATGGACCTTCGATTTTTTCAAGAAAAAGACGATGTGGTATGATTGCCAATGAGATAACTATCAATCAGAAATAACGTAAATATAAGCAGCTATAGTTCACCAAATAGCCTTCAACAATGAGCAAAATCCATACTTATCGTAAAGTAGGCTATACAAGACATGACAAAATGTTAATTAATTCAAGTAGACAACCAATGGCCTTATTATGCACAAAACAAACAATATTAAGAGCGACCGACGACAACCACATCGATTTAGGTTTATAGCTTGGAAGAGAATGTTTAGTTGTATTTTTGGTTATTTATGTTGTTGAGTTGCTGTGACATTGATAAATACCAGAAGTATTTAAGAAAAACGTCAGATGAGATTTCGACAAAAGCAGATAAAGTATTCAGATCTTGCTTCAAAGAACTTTAAGCATTTGTTTTGATACAGCAGTGTCTTGATATAGATTTTCTCTGTTTTGCAAATATTTGTCTGCAATAATATTTTTATTTGACTTTTTGTTGTGCATTGTCCATGATTTTAATGATAGAGTAGGTTTACTCAAAAAAATATTGTTGACTTTACATTTGATGATATGTCCTTTCGAACAAGATATTTCGAAGTGCTTCGTAGCTATATGTGTATGGTATTTGTGAATTTCGCAATGATTAAGCTAGTTTTAATCAGATAGGTGGTGGTCTTTATTGAATTAACATGTCCATTTCAGGGTAGATTCGTAGCCATACCTACATGTATATGTAGCTTAAGCCTAACTAGATTTTCTAGTATATTATGTTCCTCATGTTTTCGAATGCGTTCTGTAGTTATAGAAAACGCATTAGAAAACAATTATAATATTCTAATTACGCTTAATTTTGTATTGGAACTATATATCATATAAAAATACTTACATTAAATTTAGAAGTGGAAGATTGACAAATGCATGTTTCTCTATCACTGTTATAGGGTTTCCATTAAGATGACTGTGGAAGACATTAAGTATTTAACTATTTGTTTGTTGATATGCACATGGAAACAATTAACAGATCAAACATGATAAAAATTTGCTAAGAAAAGTATTGCCTGTTTCATTATATGTTTTTTGAAGATTTGACTATGTAGCGTCGTAAAGAATAATTTCGGCATTGCGAAAAATATCAAAAGATGTCATTTTGGTAATATATATTTGAAGATTGATCCATGCTTCATCTATGAAATTGAAAGTGCATCTGCTTTTGTCATATTCTTTGTTTTTCATATTGGCTGAAATATGTACTACGTAGTGTTGTTATATTACATGACAACGCTTATACAATTTAAGCTTCTGTCATCATCAGCACATGGTAAAAATAAGATTGATATCGACCTTCGAATAGAACTATTATTGATTATTTAGATTATAATCAATATACAAATAAGAATTGATTGCCAGTTTTCTAAATATGAGAAAGCAGTAACATTGTTATGGAAAATTGAGGAGAAAAACTAAAAAAGTATTCACCACAATACCGAACTCTAAAGCAAATTCAAAAAGATGGAAGTCCAAAAAACCTGACAAAATCAAATGATCCACTATATCAATAAAAAAAACGAATGGAAAATAATTGACAAATTCTTGTCTTGGAACAGGTACAGGAGTTGAATTCAAGCATGATTTGGTTAAACGATATTATTCGACTTTCGTTAGTTTATTTCATCATAGATTAATTTGTATTTAGTAAAGATATAAGCATGATAACGATCCAAATATTTACCACAGAAAGTGTTATATGTCAATGATTACGTAAAGTCCATGACAAGTCTCATATTTTTCAGCTGATACGATTTACAAAAACCCGCACCTGTTACTCAGAATTTGGGAAGCTTCATGCCAGAGTGTCGGGGATTTTTTTAAAGTAGTATTATACACCAAACATAAAAGACCTTTTACTTGAAAGCAAAAGACTCAAAAGTCTTTGATCACAATAATTTTACTTCAAAAAAGAGAGATCCTAGTACAATTGCACAAACACCTGTCTCTGTAAACATATATAAGTGCCAGTGTAAAATTGAGGCCATTATAACGAGAGAGAAAAACCATACCGTATAGTTGGCTTAAACAAATATGACAGACATGAACCAACGAAAACTACTGAACTACAGGCTCTTGACTTCGGACAGGCATATACAGTGAATCCCCCAAACCTGCGACAGTAGTATTACAGCACAACATATAAATATCATTTGAACATGGCATGACTCATCAGATCGATACAATCAGATAACCGTTTAACAAAAACACAAACGAACGTGGCATGGTATTTATACATTCCTAACAACAGAAAAGACACAAAGTACATATCTGAGAGTACTCTCAGTTACTGACAGCTAGTACAGGGATACGGATATTTGTCTAGTTGTAAAACCGCATGATTGACATAGACTAAATTATTGTCTGTTAATGAAAAGGAAACAAGACAAAATGATAGTTATGTACATTGTTGTATATGTCGTTGGTTGCTGTTTGTAAATATAACAAAAAAAATACATTTTTCATTTTCTGTTCTGAACAAAAAACAATTGGATGTAAACTAAACAGACTCAGCTGTTTATTCTCTATAGTAAATTTAGTACTTACAGACTAGTTATCGAAATATCCCTAAACATATTTGTTGTAATTCTTGACAGGTTATTGTTTTCAAGTTTTCTAAAAAGAAAATACCATGACCAAACATTTATACGATTGTTTATGTTGTCAGAATTGAAATCAATAAGTCCATATTAAAATCTATATCAATTTTCAGGTTGTAAAAGTGTATTAAAAAGAAAACATACCAATTATAAAGATTGATATGCCAAACATATTGTTGACAACTATACTGTACAAAAATCAAAGATCAACCGTATATTGAAATAACAGCAATTGGTTTTTTTTTATGAAATAAGAGTTATAAATGCGGTTTTCTTTATAGACTGTGATAGAGACAAACACACATCGATTGTTATTACTAAGTAATAAGATTTCAGCTGCAAAAAGAATTATTTCTCTGCGGATGGACCTTATTTAACAGATCTGCAGTGTGTTTCAATTGCACAGTCAATTGGTTTTCAATATTGTGTCGAATATTCAACAGTTTTCACAGTGACATTGGATGCATGGTTGCAATGTATTGATTGCATATCACACAATTAGTATTTCGTAGATAACAGCAAGCATATTGTTGTATTCCGTCTTCAGATTTGCAATATAAGCAAATAAACAAATAACTTAAATTGACCGGACAACGCCTTTTGGAGTTGAATATTTTTACCGTTATATTTGACGAATAATATTAGTATTCAATGTCTTTAGGGTGACGATTTCAATCATGCAATCACACCAATAATGGAACTGGTTTTGTATTTATATTTTCCTCGTTTCATTACTGTATAACAACTGTTACGAGCAAAAACATGTTGTATTGAATCAACTTTCTATACATCATATCGACGAACATTTCAATTAAGTTATCAATGAAATATAAATCGTCAGATATTTAAGTTACAATAAGATGTGCATGCGTATAACCATACTTGTCAAGTAAACTTGTAAATTTTGTGCAAGGTGTATTAATCTATCAGTTTTAAATACATAAATATTTTGTCAGATTAACATTAAAAATTGGAAAATATCTCCGAATCAAATTATTGACTTCCAATGCTTTATGCAATGAAATTTTTGTGATAAATCAAATCTAAAACCTTGTAATGGATTGTCCTAAATTATAAATCATGAATTGCTATTGTCCTTTTGGTCAGTAGGTATTCTTATTATATCTATTACACACCTTTCTAAGATATTTAGAGCTTTGATATCTTGTTTTAACATTTAACCTCAAATCATCTTTTATTATTCGTTTTAATAAATGTTTTACAACTATCTAAATATTTATCTTAATCCGACGATAATATAAACAATAGAACAAAGTTTAACTGTTGAAAGATCTATCAAAAATTATATAAACTTGTTTACTTTCATCATTGTATTGATTATATAAACAGTCAATATTGGTTTGAAAATTTTAGAAACTGAGAAATTTTATTAAAAATGATTACTGATGAAAACTGTTTTCTTAAAATATCCTGAACCAAGTCAGGAATATGACAGTTGTTATCTACATTCCGTTTCTATGTATGTTGGCGTTTGCATTTGTCGTAGTTCAGTGTTTCTGTTGTTCCGTTGTTTTTTTGTACGAAAAAATGGTGGGTTGAATCTGGTCTTATGGCTAGCCGAACCTTCCGCTTATATGGCAATGTTAAAAATATAAGACTACGTGACAGGAATATAGTACAAACAAACGTAAACACACTCAGCACAGAGAAATACATAAATAGATAATATAAAAGTACATTACAACATGGAAACCGCAGAATAACAACGGACACCTCCCATGAATTTACGACAGCACACAAGGACACCACAAACGAAATATAAACTGCGCGTCACATGAATGGATCAATGTCACAAAACGTGACGTATTTTTGTGACGTTTATATTATCACAGGTATAAGCTGCCATTTAATTGCCGATCGAATTTATACCTATCTCAAATGTTATCGAATAAATAGAAAAACGGTTCAACATTTCATGTGCATTTCTAACTTGACGCCCTATAATTAACTATCGACATGACCCACGGAAACTGTCAATGGGGATATAAATAAATTAAATATCTGTGTCTGAAATGACTTTCCATATTGACACAGCATAAAGTTTACGGTCACCTTTAGGAATAGTTAGATAGTATAATTTATGTTGTGTCAATTACAGACTTGCTGCCTCATTACTTCACACATAAACGAATACTTACATTAATATACCGGAGCTAGTAAGGTTCACAAACCCTCCAGGTTCAATTATTCTAATTTTATTGTCATTCAAATACCTAAAAACGATTGGATAATATATTATATGAAATTTCATAACTTTTCAATCATTGATTTCAAATTAAAAAAATATAACAGGCATTTCTTCGTATATCATTTAGGAATCATTCTCATGTAGTAGCCATTAGTTGAAGTGTAAATAGAAACAAGAAGATGTGGTATGAGTGCCAATGAGACAACTCTCCATCCAAGTCACAATGTATAAAAAGTAAAGTCAGTTTAGCGAAATTAATAAGACATTATTTATATATACTAGCACTGGCTCGATACCTCTGCTAGTGTACTGTTAGTCCCTTAGAATATTATAAGCCAAGTCGCCAGGACTTCGGTATGGGCATATAAAAACGGATATTGTTATATTCAATTAGCCGTTATACAATTGTGAAATCATTTTTAATTCAGGAATATATTTCCCTCATGCATAGCTCTAATTTGTTGACCGGGTTAAGTTTTACTTTAAGTCCTGTTTGGTTTATCAGCTCTTCAACGTTTGTAAAAGGTTTCACATATTAAAATTGTTTTGCCTCGATTTGCGAGCATCACTGGATTGCCGTTACTTGTCGATCTGCAAACCTGGGCCCGTATGCATAAAACATCTTAACTTTATTGTTCCTTAAACTTAGATTTCACTAAGAATTTCATTAGTTAAGTAACATATTTACGTCGTATGCATTAAATAACTTAGGTCGTCATTTAACTAAGGAATACTTAAATCGGAAGTTTTCTCTAATTACCGTATGATATAAGTTAGCTCATCGCATGTACTCATTCGTGCAAAAGTTTGTTTAGATTATTTACATTGATTGAACAATACATACTTTTATATCAAGAACAGGGATTACATTGATGTTGGTGTGTAAAGAAATTAAAGCAACGTAACCAACTAAAATGTCCAAACAAATGCCAAATTGGCGCATACGAGAAAAGGTTATTTCAATGGACGAGTATGGGAATAAAACAATATTTTTAATGCAAAACTTCCCCGTATTGTTACACATGTACTACAGGATAGTTGAGGGCGTGTAAGGAAATTGATTAATAAATTGACGTTTGCTAAACGTCCAGTACCAAATGTTTCATGCATGTTCAGGACGAGAACAAATTAACAACAAATAGAATAGGTAGATCCTGTAATAGAGGCTGTCCGAGATGAAGATCGGTGAAATTTAGACTGCAACTGGAAAATGACGGTATATGGGATAGGGACAGACATTTTGCCTTGTAACAGACCACCTAAGGACCCCTCAAAGAGTTCTTAACGTACAGGAAAAGTGGCACTCTATCTACACGAGACATCGGATTTATTGTCCATTCTTAACGGACATGACTGCATGCATCCCGCACAGCCAAACGGACGCTCTACATTGGAAAAGGTTTTACTGCCGGTCGGAATTAAACCAAAGTTACCTTATTTCTATTCGGTAGTCACCCTTGAGGTTTGAAGGAAATATCAAATATATAAATATTGCATGGCTGTTGCTGGATGGAGGAGCATTTTTATTTTCCAGAGACAACTATATATTTTTCTACTCTAACAATACATCATCAAGATTTGTTGAATTCTAGTTCGATTTATAATAAACTTGTTTATCACTTTCCTTTTACAACAAATAAAAGGGGGTAGCGAAATTTGGAATATTTTCGTTAACTAAAGAAATATGAAAAATAATTGAATACGACTTAAGTATCATGAATATGTTATATAGATTCGAATTACATGGAGTAGGTCTTAAAACCTTTCTGCTGTTGTCACAGTTAGTGAAACAAATCCAGGGAAATTTTCCCCATGTCTTTAGAATAAAACTATAAAATTGAAAAATAAACCAATTTCCCATCTTCTTTCCAGAAAATAGAGTTTGCATGCCTAAAGCTCCTCATCACTTTCTTACCACTTAGATACAAAGGGCGGAGTTTCCTTAACTTAAGTGTTTACTAAGGAAAATCTTAACTTACGTATCTTTATGCATACGGGCCCTGGTACAGTAAAATTGTTATTGTTAAGTTTTTATTAACAAATATTCTCCATCCCCCGTTGAAAAATTTAGAAACCATTAGGACACTAAGGTTCAAAATACTCAGGGGAAGTGGACCTTAGATGACTTTTGATATATTAAGATTCCTTTTTGTCATGAAGCTCTTTACGTGTGTAGGTCTTATACATCTTTGTTTTTAAATATTTCAGTTTAAGCGAACCTAAAAGATAAATCTAGAAAAGCGCTTTGGACAGACAAAAATATTTATTTAACTGATCTTGATTATTAAAATATTAACAAATTAAGGCAACAGTAGTATACCGCTGTTCAAAGGTCATAAATCGATTGAGGGAAAACAAATCCGGGTTACAAACTAAAACCGAGGGAACCACACAACTTTAAGAGGAAAACAACGGAACAACAGAAATACTGAACTGTAACAAAACGCAAACATTCATAGAAACGAACTATTTGATAACAACTGCCATATTCCTGACTTGGTACAAGACATTTAAGAAAAAATGGTAAGTTGAACCTGGTTTTATGGCTAGCCAAACCTTCCGCTTATTTGGCAATGTTTAAAAATATCGCTAAAATGACAAAACTACGTGACAGGAATACAGTACAAACAAACGCAAGAACACTCAGTACAGAGAAATGCATAAATAAGTAACATAATAGTACATTACAACATGTAAACCGCAGAATAACAACGGACATCTCCCATGAATAAACGACAGCACAGGACACCCTAAAATTGCGCGTCACATAAATGGATCAACGTCACAAAAAGTGACGTATTTTTGTGACGTATATATAATTTTGAAATTCATACAATTATATGGAACGATATCCAAAAATTCACAATTAATTTCTATTCCAAATAATTATCATGATTATGACGGTCTTGAAAGGCTATTTTAAATTAATGCTGTGACGGCATCATAATGTTTTGGACTAACACAATATTTTATTCATGGAAAATGGAAATAAACTCGACTATACCGACAAATAAGACATATGTGACATGTACCGAAAACACAGAATTCAAACCACAAACGATAAGACATAACACAATATCCAACCGTACTTACAAAAGAAACATCATAGCTAAATACATGCATATATGAATGTTGGATGTATAAATACCGAGATACGTCGTATAGCAATTCGAATTAACACTCGGCCAAACAGTCATATTCGGTAATAGGTCACGTTCGGTCTCCAACGATCTCCAAGCTAAATTTAAAAGAGGGAAGTCCATTAATATTGACAAAATCAAATGCTCGACTATATAAACTCGGTACAGGCAATTTACGAAGAAAATAGTGGGCTAAATCTGGATTTTGCAAGCTAAACTCCCAACTTTTATGCCATTTATTTACATGTGCGTTCAATAACATGGAATAAGCTTCATAAATCGCTATCTTGAATATCACTTTACGCAAGTTGTGAAAGCCTTAGTCGGCCTGGGGCTTGTGTTGCTCAGTCTTTAGTGTTCCATGTTCTGTTTTGTATACAGTTGTTTGTCTTCTGGTCTTTTTGCCATGGCGTTATTAGTTTATTTCTGATTTATGCGTTTGAATGTCCCTTTGGTTTATTTTTCTCCTCTTCTGTATCATCGTGTAAACTTGATTTTAATGTTTTACAGTCTCGGCAAACAATCCTATTGAATTGGAGTATCTTGTTCTGGACAATTAAATAGTTGTTTACGTTTTTACTCAAGAAATCCACTAAACATTATCACCCAACATATTCAGACAAATCCACTGTGTTTAAGAATTGGTTTTTATTGTCTGATTTTGATAAATATATAACTGATTCATATTTTACTCCAAAGAATATGATGTGTTTATTATTTATGATTTGTTTTGAACTAGCTTTCTTTAAAAAGGGAAGAGTTGAACACGCAAACATGGTAAACCCCGCCAAATTATGTATATGCTTAACTTGTCCCTAGTCAGGAGCCTGTTGTTTTTGCTTAAATCTCGTAGTGGTTTAGGTGGTTTGAATTGTTTTCCGCTTTGTCAGGTCGGTACCTTCTATAGCATACAGTATAGTTTATGTTTATTGATGAAGGCCAAATGCTGACCTATAATTGCATACATCATGTATGTCATTATTTCTGGTTGACAATTGCCTCTATTACAATCATATCACATCATCTTAATGACATATTTCTATGTGAATTGTCATCTGACGTTTTAATAGTACGGATGTACACCAGTTTCAACATTGGGTGCTCTCAATAAGGTTTTGAGTGTAAGTTGTCTTTTAACTTTCTTAATGTTTCAACTCAGAGATTTCTAAAACATTTATACGTTATCTGTGGCTGCTAATTTTTTTGGTATAATTTCCATTTTCAGTCTTTAGGGTTTATAAAGGATTTGTTGTGCAATTTGTGCATGCAGTCATGATAATGATGGTTGTTGTGTTATGTTATATTTGTTTAAAAGTATAGCCATGGTTTAAAAAGGTCAAAGTATTTCTCTATTCTGAAAATATTATAATTGTAAGTATGATTAGGTGGATAGTCGCTAAGTTAATATAATAACCACAAACAGCACCTCGTAAACCATAAAAGAGGGACGAAAAATACCAGAGGGACAGTCAAACTCATAGATCGAAAACAAACTGACAACGCCATGGCCAAAAATAAAAAGACAAACAGACAAATAATAGTACAGATGACACAACATAGAGTACATTGCTTGTATAAATTCTGCTTGATTACAGCTTGCAACGACTTTGGAGGCGGCAACTAAAAGAAACTGGACAATCAGCTGGAACAATAAGGAAGAAATAGAAAAAAAGCTGGGTTCGTGTGCACAAGGTTGATTGATATTCTATTCAAACAGTGAATAATGGGTATTTGTTACGTTTATATTTAATCCAGAAATCTGTTCACATAAAAGAATAAAATCAGATGCAGCTTAACGACGACAGAAACCTACGTTAAAATGTAATACACATAAGTCACACACACAAATGAAGGATTCTGATTGAATACCAAACAAACAATGTCGCTTTTTAGCTTTTTAAGTCAGGAATCCGGATCAAGATCAGATTGCAGGGTTTGGAAAATGATCATAATACTTTTCAAATTATTAACATCTAGTTGTGTATTAAAGTGTTTGTCATTTAGATATATTCGGTTTAGACATTATTAAAAGAACAGCCAAATTTGTCTCGGGTCCCCTTTAAGCATTTGTATCCTCAAGATTGAACAATTAATTGATACAATCAATTGACCTGCAAAATAGTTATCCAGTGATCATTGAAAGTACAGGCTGTTTTTCAAAGTTTGACATTGACTTTCTTTCAGAACCGACAGGACATTATATTCATTTAATGAATGTTAACGCCACTTTTGGAAAAATCGTTAATTGTCCTAAGATCGTGGGAATTTCCGTCAAAAATGTCTTGTTACTTTTCATATCGATGTTGTTACTTTTAAAATCGATTGGGTCTTGGTTTAAGTTTCCTGTGCTGTCAGATATTGGGTCAGCTAAACAGTTATTGACGAAAGTTTGAACATCTTCCGTTTTAAAAATATCTGGAGGGAGATAGAGATTTTGTGTTAATTACCACATAAAACACCTAGAAAAGATATGACACAATGAGTTTATTTAGCAATTCCCTGTAGACCAAAAAGAATAAAAATTGAGAATGGAAATGGGGAATGTGTCAAACAGTGAAATCTTACAGTAGTATTGAAAAAAAATGGATTCTATATTCTATCTAAACCTCCTGTTGAAGCATAGAGAATGTAAGAAATACGTTCAATTCTTCATCTGCAATATCAGGATGTAAATAAATTTTACATCGAAAGTCCTGATCATTTATCATCGCCTTTCGTTCAACATTTGTTCAACATATCTTTTTAAAACTAAATTGTAGGTTTTCACAGTTAAACTTAAAATCATGAACATACATTCTATCCAAATTTGGCATGTTGTTGAAATCTCCTCTTTTTATTGTTGTAATATTATTTCCAGTTATAGATCTAATAAAAAAAGAAAATAATAGTTAGAAAGTTGAATATGATAAGGCAACATATTTACATATATTTAAAGGGCCCCTGGATAATCGGAGCAAAGTTTTAAAAATGAATTTGGGCGGTAAAGGGCAAAAACTTGGCACCTGATATTACATTTATTAAGTCTTCTATTTCCAAGATGAAACAAAAATGTATGGAATGAATTGTTTGTATGTGCCTATATTAGAAATGATTGCCATTTACATGCGAAATAGAACACAATATAGAAAGTAAGGTTCAATAAGCTATATATTCAAGTCTGATATGTTATTGACAATGTTAAAATATTTTCCTGTTTCCATTCCGTAGAAAAAAGAAGAATTTGATAGTCATAATCACAGTTTATCAGCTAGATAAACACGCTATTGTAATGAATAGATCCTTTTTTATATTTACATATTAGCAGGTTTTTACGTCAGATATCAGCATACAAATTCCCCACAGGTTCAATAAAAGAAAGGCTTATTGACATTTTTTTTTTTTTTTTATTGTTTTGCTCTTCTTTTTTTGTTTGTTTGTGTACTTTAGTGTTTTGTTTAAGCCTAATAATTTATAAAATAGTTATATTCAATAAACAGCTTTTCATATCAGAGACATTCTGTAACTGCAGTTATAACTATGGATAAGAAAAGATTAATCACCGGAATTATAAAAATTACTGAAGTCATCATCCACAATCCTTTTAAATACCCTTCTGACTTACAATATGTAAACCTCATTTGGAATGTCTTTAGGAACTTCTGTCAGGTCTGAACAAATAACTTGACTGAAATAACTATATACAGGAGAAGGAGCTTTGTTGGTGCAAGTGCAACGAGATCTTAAGCAAGTCATATTTTCTCTTCGGCAGGTAACAACTTCTTCCTCTTCACAACAAGAAATATTTGCGATCAAGTATACTGCAACTAAAACTGCTATTATAAATATAACTTTATAATCCATTTCATACCTGCAATAGAAATATTTTCGCTCTTCAGCTACATTTACAGAATGTATTCTACTTTGCCAGGACTTTTCACTTTTGTCTTTATCTACCGCTATTGGTAAATAACGAGAAATAAAACATGTGCTCCTTGCGTTAATCTGATTTTCGGTAGGTCGAGTAAAAGAACAATCACAAATTTGTAATATGTGCAAGAAGTAAAATATCAAAAATACCGAAATCCAAGGAAAATTCAAAGGGGAACTCAGAAACGATTTGTTCGTGGCATTTAAATTTAATTTTGGTGCAAAATGTGAAACCATCAAATAGTAACAATGGAACTAGCAGTCATAATGTGCCATTCATTAACATATATTTGTATAAAAATTTGCAAACATTGCTCCCAATCGCGAAATATTTATGAACCATTTAAATGTTAGATGTCTCAATATTAATCTACTAAAACAAATGATATAAATAAAACCGGACCTAACCGATGTGTATTTGTTTCAACATCGAACAAAATACTTCTCTTTTCGGCTATAGTTTGTGTTGGAAATAAGCTGCACAAATTATAACATTAACAAAAAATGCAAGTGTAAGAGAAACATAATAAATGTAAAATATCAACTAAAATATGAATATTTTAATGGAGATTAGTGAGTGAGCCAACAAGAAGTAATTTTCTATGAATATTTGTGATTTTTTTAATTAAAATTAGTTATTTTTATCATGTTTATAAGGCACATAAACAACTTATTTGTATCACTTAATTTATTAGAAATAATTTTACTGCTAAATATCAATATTTTGATAGCATATGTTCAGTACATCACCAGAATTAGTAATTATGGCATTTTTTATTCCAGAAATCACTTGATAATGTGTCAATGAAATGTGAATAAATTGTCCAGTAAGGAGTGCGCTTACATTTTTAACAATTGACGTTTATTAGTTATGATATAAATTAAAGAGATTGGGTATCATTTCCGAATAGTCAATTATCAACCAGAGATCACACGGTGTGGATGTAGGCAACTGTAGGTCCTGTACGGCCTTTATCAATGAACAAAACCCTTACCAAATAAAAAGCTATTAAAGGTCCGACCTGACAAAATGGGAAGCAATTCAAACGAGGAATCAAAAGTCTCATTTATAATTAAACAGCATACTTAAAACAAGTCTTTTGTGATTTAATCACACCTTCACCTTCTATTTTTATGATGACTCATAAAATAGGTGTTTCACTTGACACTTATATTTGGTTTTTTTAGTAATGTTAATGTTCACGTTATTTTATCAACATTTGGTTTAAACAATATTTTATTCAATGAATTAAATCATGCTATATAAGATAATACATTTTAACAATAGGATCACTCAACAAGCAACATTGAATATTTTAATCTGTCTCAAGAACATGATGATGACATACACAATTATGAATAATTGATTGATGATGTTGATTTATTGTATTTTAGTTTGAAAACAAGGGAGAAAAAAAAGAAAAAAATGAACGAAATAAAGTAGATGAAAGTAGGGAAAGCAAATTATGGAAGCTTTCATATTAAATTGCGAACCTTTTACTTTCCAAAATATACAAATTGGTTCGGTCCTAATCTGTACAACAAGTTAACTTGATTACTAGGGATTTGACTGGTCAAAGTTAATTTGCAATAGGTTCTAGGACTGCTCCGACTGGTTCCAGAACCAAAATCGATTTAACATAAAAAGCAGTCTTGGATCGAGAACTGTTTTATGACTATCAAAAAAGTTAACTTTAGACAGGAACGCTATTGAAGTTAACTTCTAAATCAGTCCTCCACCAATTCAACTTCGATCCGTCTAACTCCTATTGAACCAGACGTGTAATAAAGTACTCTTTTCGTTTGGTCTGCTAAAAACTAAGTTCATTTGTGAGCAAGCTCGCTTTAAATCGATTGATAAATATCTTAAAATGTTCATGTCTCTCGATATAAACAATTCAGTACGCATACAACTTTAAGTGGAATAAAATATCTAACTAACATCTGATCTGCCTTTTAAAAAAAAAATGATTATACAGTTGAAAGACGAACATCTTTCAAACTTTGCATCTATTGATAAAGATCAAATTCTTCAAATTATATACAAAATGTATATTTTCTATGAAAGGTGAAGTTATGATTCGTTTTAAAATACTAACATGGGTATGAGGAAGAATACCAACACTATATGAAAAGGTTTATCAGGCGATTGGACAGATAGTTATATGAGATAACATAAATCAATATGCTAATTAATCGAATTAAATGCTACAAAATACACATATAACAAAAAAATAAAGCAAAGCACAAAAGATAAATATGCAAAATGCAAAAATTAAAAACAGCAATTAACAAAGTTAATTTTCCGCCCTTCGTTTATTCATAATATAAATTAATCCTTAAGGGAAAACGGTGGGTGGGGAAAAATTAAATGCACCCGACGAGTTGCAAAACGAAATTGATCGACGCTTCCATTACATATCTTCAAATTTAAGAATGAAATTTAAAATTATTAATTTATACAACTAAAACAATATAATCGAAAACAAACCTGCCTAGTAAACTATCCAGATAATTAATGAACTTCCTGGTGTTTACATTAACAAAGAAAACTATTTAGCCAATCGCTTCCAAAATTGTTATGGTTGAATAAATATCAATGATGAGAACTCATCAAAGTAAAGAAAATTCTTCTAATTCAAATTTGACAAAATAAAAGATAACGGTTTATTTATATTTTCGGTAATTATTTATTTTTATTTAAAAACCAAAAATACGCTAATTTATACAGAACTTTCCCAACTTTATGAGTTATTAAGAGACTAAATGACTCAGAAATTAACAACTAAAGGTCATTGTACGGCCTTCAACAATGAGCAAAACCCATTTTTCATAGTCAGCTATAAAGGGCCCCAAAATGACAGCTAGTTCAAAGCCAATAACAACTAATAAAACAAATCATGCATCTAAGACTAAATAATCAATCAGTACACATCCAACATCCAATGGATTTAGTGTAAAATGGCAATAAACAGTCAAAGAAAAACATGACCTTGTGCAATGCCAAGATACAGGTACTGGTAGATTGTAGAGCCAGTAAAAAATATGTAGTTTACTTTTAATTTAATGAAATCAAAATCAATATTAGTACCAATAAAAACAATATTCAAAGATCTGGTTACAGTGTTAAATTGGTAACCTTTTAGAATAAATTTATTTGAAGGATCGATAAAGTTACCCGGATCGTTTCTAAATTTCCGAGCTCGGTAAACAACATCTCCGTAAAAAATAGGATGTGCTTTCCCGTTTGAAATAAGTTTTTTACAGGCACAACCAAACTTCAAAACCAAATCTTTATATCTATGGAAGAATTAAGTAAAGGTTTTAAGTAATTTGTGGTAACGAAATCCCTGACTTAATAATTTACCAGTAATACATAGATTATGTTCATTGAAATCAAAACGTCACAGCATCCACGGGCATAGCGAACGAGTTGTGATATATGAACACAGTAAGATGGTGCCAAAGGAACTAAAAATGAAAATTAACAATAGGAAACGACAAATCGTTCCTTTTGTCGTAAAGTTTCCCGTGTGAAACTGAAATATCTAAATCTAGGAATAGACAGTTACATGTATTACCATTTATATTTGATTTATTTAGAGTAAGTATCTTTGGGTAAATTTCGAATGTATATTTAGAAAATTCTTGATTGTATAACGAAAAAATATCATCAAGATAACGGTAAGTGTTGTTGAATTTATCAGTTAAATGCAATTTAGACGGGTCTTTACTGAGTTTGATCATCAAGGAGAAAATAAACAGCTTCAAACATCTCATCAAACCTCCAGTAAGTATATCTAGCATATTTACCTTTCTCATTGGAACAGAAGGCTTTAAATGAGTTGCAGCAAATATATTTACATTCAGATTAACCAAACGACCAGTTAATTAAAAAGGAAAACTTTTATTTGATAAGATTGTGTGGATGTCCAGTAAAAAGAGTTGAAAAGTCAAAACTGTCAACAGAATCAAAAGGACCACCAAAAGCACGTTATTTATTTAAAACATTCAAAGAATGTTTTACACTCCTAAAATAGTTAATTCCAATATTTTCATATATTTTGGATAAATTTAAATATAAGTTGGGTTTGGCGAGGCTTCTGTTATGATTATACCCTTTCCGTCAAATTACCGTAGTAACCTTAATATGGCATAATGGAGAAATAAGCTGTAAGCAGCAGGATGTTCATTTCCATGTCCTTTCAGAAATCAAACATATAACTCTTACATAAGATATAACTTTCGAGAAAAGTCTGACAGAAAAATGAAAATCGACAGTACAAACATTGAACCAAGTACACTGAATATTCGTGATACAGAACCATTGTCCAGATTAGTTGAGAATTGAGCGCTACTAAAAAGGTCAAAATATGTACATGCCAGTCCCAAATTAGGTGAATGTTGTCGTTAGTTATTGTCTGTCATTGTTGTTTTTCGATGATTGTTTTGTAACAAATCAGGTCGTTGGGTCGATGGTTTTCTCTGTTGAATTCTTTAATATCGGGATCTTCACATGGAATATGGCTTATTGTACCTTGTAGTTGTTTTGTATATGTTATAATGGCCTAGGACAAAGACAGTGCCTATACCCCCTGTGGAGATCCCGAATAACAATTATATTAAATTTGAGTGGCCTGTGTTCATGTTAGTACATTTTATAGCTTACAATACATTGTGAGTATTACTAATTATTGAATGCCTACGGTATTCAAACTCTGGTGGATATTTTTTTCATTGGCTATCGTACAACATTTCCTTGTTTTCATAAAGTATGGACAAAGCAAAATATGGAAAGAAATAGGCTTACCTGTCGTTTTAACCTGCTTTGACATATTTTTTTTATGCTTTTTTACAAGTATAATGTATTTTAAAATGGGGTGTATTTGATAAATTCTTATCTTGATTTATCTATTGTGCATTTAACTACATACAATGTAA